GGAGATGGGAGTGGGGAAAACACTGAGGTGAGAGTCCCTATCAGGGAAAACACTCAAACCTGAAGGGACAAGAGCTAAGGCCTAAAGGCACTAGGCCTGTCAGGACGTGCCACCTGAAATAAGACTGAAATGAGAACATGCGCGCATGCACGCATACACACCTGCCTCCTCCTGGCTCTTCATTCAAGGTTTCTAAAGATAAGATGACCTAGATTCATAACCCAGTTTAAACCAATCCCGCACGAAGACTCTGTTTCCCTAATCTTGTCCCTGAACCAAGTGGTGAGCTTGTGTATTACTGTGTTATGTTTCTACCTGCCTAGGAGAAAAAGCTTCTTTTCATAGCATCATCAACTAGAAGAAAGAAAATGTGGTCTGGATTTAGAATCTGGCTTTATTTGTGCTGAAGCTATTTTCCATAGCCTTCAGAATGGGAGATAATGTTCAAAAGAGGGAGAAAAAATGAACTGAAATTAAAATCGATGTAAAGCCTACACACCCTTTAAAAAAGATCTGGGTGGTTTTTCCACCATTGCTCTGAAAGTTGTTTTAGGCAGTGTAATGGGCAAAAACTTATTATTCAACAGTGGAGAGAGAGGAAGACTTAGCTCCTATGCTCCCTGCCATAACACTAAAAACAAGGGAGAAATCTCTAAGTCCAAATTAAGTTTCCATTGTGGAAAAGGTATGTGACAGTTAAGAGAAGACACACATTATCTATGCAACAGACACATTTCTAAAGGGGCTAACTCATTCTAAACTAGAAACTTGGATTCCAGCCCTGGAGATGAGGTGTGTTTTTTGTTTTTTTTTTTTTTCCTATTTGAGCATTACTCCCTTTCTGGCAATTTTGTTTATTTTCCCTGAAGAGTGGCTTTACTGACATGCATGGCATGGTGTCCATGGGAGCAGCCCCCACAGGTTGTCACCGTGAAGGTGAAAAGGGGATAAGTAAGGGAGGAATGACATCAGAACACTGTTATCCTTTAAGACTTAACCCAATGCACTATACTAGGAAGGAAATTTGAAAAGAATTACCTGGGATTCAAATAGCATAAATCTATTTCTTTTTCAAGCAGGCTTTGGACTCTTGTCTACCAAGCCTTTCAGGAACTGGAGATTATCTGAGTGCCGGTCAACTCTCAGTAAAATGTCCCCTTCTCAGTGACTGAACAGAAAAGCTACAATCAATTTGTCCCCTTACATCAGTAGCCAGATAGTGGGGAGGCCTATGATGCTGTCCTCTCCATGGTGAAGAAGAAGAACCAAGAAGAACAAATTGCCCCTCCCTTCAAGGAGCCTGACATCAAACTGAGGACCTAGAATTTAAAAAGCAACCAAAAACCACCAATCTGGTTCTAAGATTTGTAAGACAATGCACTGTGTGTAGAGGTACTGTGAGGAAACAAAGCAAAATGTGAATAAAATAAACAGAATTAGTTCAGTTGAAAAGATGAGCATCATCTGGCAAAGAGGGAGAGAGGGAATCTCTACAGGAAACAGCAATTTCCACGAGTCTACTGTTGTCAATAGAAGGCTCAGGCACCATCCTGAAGACTGATTGGACTACTCCTCACACATCAGCATTCAGGTTTCTATCCCAAACGTGCACGGAGGGGCAAGCTTGTGCTCAAGCAGCAGGAGTGAATTTTGATGAAGGGTCGCCAAGAAAATGAGATCATGTGATACAGGGAATCCTAGAAGTCATAACTATTTGAGTAAATCACAGCAAGAGCGAAGTGTTAGGACTCTGAGGAACAGCTAAAAATAAGAGAAAGAGAATATATATCACTAAGTAGGGAAACGAGAATATGAATACTTGATGGAAACTATTAGGTTTGTGCACCCGACACGTAAAACTGACTCCTGCAATGGTATACAACTGGCCGAAGTGCACAGGTGCCTAATGTCTGGGCTCACCAAGCCAGTGCCCTCCTCGGTCTCAGGCACCCCCACAAGCAGGCTGTACATCAAAGCCCTTTGCACAAAAATCTTCAGGAAAGAGCTGTGCCCCTTCTAAAGACTTTGGTACATATACTGGAGTCAAGACAAGAGCCCTTTTGGGATTCTACAACAGGTAGAAAACGTAGGAACTAAGCTTTTAATTCCAGCTTTTAATTCAGCCTGATATGTCTTGCAACTTTGGATGCTCCACAAGTAGGTTTTGTATCTGTTTTCTCACTGGTGAAATGCAGAGAAGGGAGGTGACCTAAGTCGGGAGGTCATGGTCCTATAGGCCTTTGAGATGACCCTTGTCCCCCTAAACCTCCTCCTCATTTGGGAGACTCATAGAAGGCTCCAAGCCAAAGTACAGTTCAGAAAATACTATTAGTGAATAAGTGTAAATTGATCATTTCAATGCCTTTAGTCCAGAAGAGTGGGCTGGTAGAGGGGACAGTCATGCCACTTTTCTATTGGGAGCCAGGCAGGGGAGTGGAATGAGGGAATGACAGAGACCGGTCAAGCCTGTGGCCTGGGCTCCCACTTTCAGCAGAACAAAGAAAATCATGGCTCAGCAACTTGAATAGACCAGCACACTAAGGTGACATAAATTAAATTGGTGAAAAGCATATTTGTTAGGAAAAGCCAAAAATTGTGGAGTAAGGGCAAGTCTTAGCAAAAAAAAAAAAAAAGTGTCTAAAATGTTTTTAACAATCTGCCTATTCTTCCTCTCTTCTGAGAAACATGTTCTACGTGATCATAATAAGGAATTGTCATGTTGGTCACTGGCTTCTGTTCACTAATAGCAACAACAGCCCACAGTTCATTTTTTTTTCCAGAGTCATATCTTTATAGGTCCTTACATGTCAGATCTTCAAATATGCCCTCAGAAGGAGTGTCTAAAGAGGAGGCTTTCAGTGCTCCCTCTGCTGTTAAACATCCCCAGAGTGTTTCCTGCCAGGACATGATTTCTCCAGGGCGTGATGACAGGGCACCCACAATCAAAGGAGAGGGAGGAAGAAAGAACTTGGTCCCTACTAACTCTTCCCCCGCTATGTAGTGCAGCCTCCCACCACTAGCCCAAAATACCATTTTGATGAAATATTAGAGTGCATACATCTCTACAGGAATCAGAAAATCACACCATCTTGCCAAGCTTCGGCTCAAGCAGGACACTTCTTTTTCAAAGCCTTTTCTGGTAACTATTTCTACCATCAAATAGGGGATGAAGCATCCTTCCTGGCACTCCCTGAAGATGTGCTCCTCTATTCTAGGTATTTTTGCTATTGGTTTCTTCTCTACTGACTGCTTCCTAAGCTTCTTGAAGGCAGAAACTGATCTTCCCCACCTCAGAATCCCCAGGAAGCAAGAGGCATTGGCACTAAACAGGGGCTCAATGGGGTGATGAGTTAATGAATTAATCGTTATTTTTTTCTAATTAAATAAATCTTCAGGCTGCACAGTTTACAAAGAACTTGCACACTTACTTCCATATCTGATCCTAATAACACCTAGGAAGTCCCCCTTAGGGAGGGGCCACAATTGTCCCCATGTGTAGATGAGGAGACTGAGGCCAAAAGAAATCTAGTAACTTGATGGATGTCACACAAGGGGCAAAGGATTTAATGACTTTTTCTATCTAAATAATTTAAACTTGCCCTCATTAGAATCTTGCCTCTCAAACAGGGTCCTGCTTCTTTAGGTCAGAGGACGGCTTAGGCGTAATGAATATGAAACTAACTGATGTGGGTCCCTGATTCATAACATTCTCATCATTAGTCCAGGAATGTTGCTCTTTGATCTTATTTATCTGTTTGTTTATACATTTTATTTTTTAATTATATAAACAGTGGTATCAATATATTCTATACTCTATTATGGTTTAAGAGTTTACTAAGTAAGTATCCTAGAGTAAAGGGAAAGTCCAGGAAAGGAACATTCTTCCTGAGTACCAATTCAGCACGCACAGGCGATACTGGAGCATTCTCAGGGCTCTATCAAGGAAGAAGCTGCATCTCAATTAAGTCCAGTCTTCTGTCTGGAACTTCATAAATGTAGGCAGCCTACACTGGCATGTGTCCAGAATGTAAAGTAAGAATGTCAATAAGTGTGTTCTTGGGAGACAGGAAGAATTATTTTAATATAAAAGGACATGAAATCATGACATATGGGCCAAAAAGAAATTAAATGAATGAAAAACAACTCTTTTCCTTTTCCCCATCCCACCATGCTCTTTCATAAGGGGGAACGTGAATTATCCCCATTGTTGAACTCAACTGAGAAATGCTAAACAAATAGAACGATCAAGACCAGACTGGCAGAATTTCAGGGCAGCTGTCCTCTACCTTCATGCTGTTCCCTATACCTCATTCGTTCAGTAGGAACAAAGCCTTTCAGTCCACAGTTACAGATGTCTTTCGCCAAGAACTTGACTCACTGAAGACCCTCAATACATGTATTCTAATTAACTGAAGAATTTCAGAATGCAATCTTCAGCTCCAGTTAATAGTTTTTGTGGATGTCTTTTGGTTCAAATTGGCTACTCTACCCAAACCACTTTTACAAGACCAATCTACCTTTGTTAGGGGAAGTAGTATCTCAGACGGGAGGGCAGAAAGTGCCTAAAATGTAAAGTGAAGTCATCTTTTCTCAGGAAGGGGGAAAAAGCACCAAAAAAGAAAAGAAGGTAGCTTGATCTGAGGAAATCAGGCTTAGATTCCAGGATGTTGCTAAGGGGATGCTCTATTCATCGTCAGCTTGGCAAGAACCGATAAAGCACGTGCATAGAGGTATTTTACATCGCCCAGCTGCAAACCCAGGCAGTAGTGCTTCAAATGATTCGTGAAGTTTTTATTTTAGTCTGAAACCCATCTGATTTCATACAAAGGAACCATGTTGCTGGGAGTCTGAGAATGGAGCTATGGCTTATGTATCTGAAGATCGGTCAGTAAGCAATACTGAAAATTATTAAGTCTTGCTTTGCAGCCACCATGATCCTAAGAATGAGAGAGACACACATGCAAATTGAATTCTGTTTAGATGAAAAAGCCAACACCTACACTCCAGTCCAGAGTCGCTCTGGGCTCCTTCGCTGGACCATTTGCCACAGGAAGGCTGAGGGGATGTACAGGAGCCAGGTGCTGCAGGCCTGCCCGGGAGATTGCTTTCCTGCAGCCAGAAGAAAAAAAAAAAACACAAAGAAAAACCGACATCAGAAGGTAAACAGAGCTAAAAATTTCCCCTGGGGTAAAAAAAAAAAAAAAAAAAAAAAAAAAAACAATGCCTGAATTAGACTTCCACATGCAAAAACCTTTGCAAATGTATTGGAGTATATGTGTCTCAAGTGTATGGTGAAGATAGAGGGTGGCAAGTCTCAAAAGACAGGGAGAGTGCGGGGACCATTTGGGGGGTCATGTTGCTTCAGGACCAGAATGCAATTTCTAGATGCCCCTATTCAGAGTGGAGGGCAGAATGCAGGTCTCTCCATTTACAGAAAAAGACCTAGGGTTTGGGTAGTCACAATACTTGGACAATTCTAAAGCTGCCAGAGACTAAAGGCAAGAAAAGCAGGCTCAGGGGAGGTCTTCTATCGAAATTCCTCTATCTCCCAACAAAGTGCTCTCCAAGCTAGTCACAGCTCCAAATTCAGTCTTGTTCCTCTTAAGAGCATCCTCCCTCATCCTTGAAGACGCCTTCTGCAGATAGCTTGAGGCTCCAAATGGGAAAAGACTGATTTGTATCTGGCAAGAAATGGTACAGGCTGAAAGGCCAATCTCTTACCAAGGCCCACGGAAAGACAAAAATCAAAATATGTTGCTTAGATTAGGTTTGTTGAGTGGAACATAACAAAGTGCAGGTCAGAAAGGAGGGAATAAATCAGGAGAGGTTGAGAAAGTCAGCCCTGACCTTGGTCTGCAAAGATAAGAAATACGAGTTGCTTTTGCTTTAGGGTGAAGGGAAGGGAGACTGGAAGAGAGACTGGTGGAGAGAATGAGAACAGCAAGATAAAGGAAGAAAGTGGCGAGACCTTGTGGCATCTTCATTAATAATGTATGTTAAATTTCTGAACAGCTCCATGAAAAATGCCAGACAAGGGTATCAAGCTGAAATATAAGTGCTGATTCATTAATTAACTAAATGGCTTCCTGGAAAAGAGAGGTTTCCCGCTACATGAGTGTCCACAGGTGCTTTAAGAATTACCTGAACTAGAATCAGGTGGGTCTTGTGACCCTGCAGCTGAGTCCTGAATAGGTCTAAGGGTGAGGTCCAGGAATCTGCACTTAAGCACGGCTGCCCATGTGCTTCCTTCTGTGAGCTAAAGTTTTCAAACTGCTCTATGGGAGTGTGGAAGGGCTTTAATCTAAAGAGGGTATGAACTGGAGAATCTCCCACATGCACCCTCAGGAAAGTGAAATGCAAGAACTAAGAGACTGATTTGTTGAAGACTGGAAACCTATCCCTCAACCAGCGAACATCCACCAAGATTGTCTCCCCATCCTCAAGCCAATGAACTTGTTGTTTAGATTCAGGCTAGACTCCCTGCTCTTGGCCATAAAAATAACCCACTCCACACTGTTAATGGACTTACCTGTAGCTTGCTACAGTTTTCATGTCCTGAACTGCAACTCCTCTCCTATTCCCAAATAAACTCAATTTCTGATAATTCAAGCTTGCCTTGGTTTACCTCTTTATTTAGGTTGACAAAAGCAAGTATATTTGTGCAGGTGGGGAAGCACTAACTTACCCAGGCCCATTGAGGGGGAGCCCTGAAGAAAAGCATTAGCAACTTTATTAAGCACTTTACCCCATTAGCTCTCCGTATCCTATCTCACAGGACGTGAATATTGTAGTAAGAATCTGCCATTTTGGAAACTGGACCTGCAGACACATGGGGTCCCCAGAGGAACAAAGCTACAGATGGGGAGATGGGGAAAAGGAAGGCAGTGATGGCTCAATGTAGGGTGAATCCCATAATGACTGAGCCAGTGAAGGGAAAGGAAGTTGCCTGGGAAGGGGAGAGGAGTAAGAGCAAAATGTAAAAGCTCTGTTGGAATCTAGAAGGCAGATGATATCTCTGTTCCGTTCACTGATCTCTGCAAACACCCACCCAGATGTGGAATTTGTAGTTGACCAAGATAAACAATAGCCTCAAAACCCAAAGGAAGGCTTGGTAGAATCTAGAAAAGAATCCAAGATCTTGCAGACACTGATAAATGGCCAAGTATGTCTAAGAGCTCAGCAAGTGCCCAGCCCTTTTTTCACCCTTTCTTATATTCCCACACAGGAAGTCTTAGAAATAATGTAAAGGTCTTTAGTAGTCGTAAGTGATCACATGAAGACTGTCTGTAGCCTACGTTCAGAAGCTGGGTAGCACACAGAGCTGCTTTATGTAATCCCCCAAAGAGTCATTACAAGTATGTAGACCTTTAATGAACACACTCTGATGACACAATATTCTCTTTCCTCTCTTTCATCAAGGCAAAAATTAATATCAATTTTGGCCTCTTCACTGACACCAACTCTTTTGGTTCCCAGAGCTAATTCAAAGTTGGCATAGGGAGTAGGGAGTGGGAGTGGTCAGGGCTCCCTCAACATCAAGCAATTCTCAGACACCAGCAGGGTGTCCAAGAATTCAACTCAATTCTTACACTAACTATCCAGAGGTAACATCGGACCCTTCGCCCCAAAGTATTTTCCATTCCGCTGAGCAATAGGAAAAGAACACTAAAGATTCCTATACCATGCTCCTTCATGGCCCATGTATTTTTCTCCACCTGAGTTCGAGGAATTTCTGTAACACTTTTCTTTAGGACTTTTCTCTGGCTTTGAAGGAGCCAGTATGTGATTCTAAGTCACAGCTTTCATCACAAGAAAATGAGATCTCTGCGGAGTCAGAATCTACAGGTTCCACCTTTGATTCCTTAAAACACAACCTAAATTTAAGTGTTCTAACGAAAACTAACAAACGGTGCCTATGCTCAAGGCCTTGGAAGAGCTGAAGAATTCCTAAATCTTGGGTAAGTGAGAAAAATACAAGTTCTTCATCTTTTCACAGACAGTCACAGAGAGCTGTGATTGGAATAAAAAAAAAAAAAGGGGGAATAAAATTCTAACTGCACAGTAGAAACCATAGGACAAATGAGTCTAACTCACCAGAAGTTGTAGACTCTGGCTGACCACCAAAACCTGTATTCCTAATTAGAACAGCCAGGAGGGACAAACTGCTGAAATAGCTAAATTAAGGTGCAAGGGATGCTTGGGTCTCGAGAAGAGAAATGTGGCAATAAGAAGACATACAAACCTTCAACCCAACTAAGCCCTGCATGAAATCACATTCAAATGACACTCTTTCCCAGCCCGTGAGTAGACATGATTAAATAAGGGCTGCAGGTTATTTATTCCTCATTGTGGATGGAAATTTAAGGTTGGTTTTCTGTAACATTAACAGAAGAAAATTGTATATCTACGACATATATGAACACTTATTAGAAGGAAAATAAGTAAGAAACATCAAAACGGCTGCCAGTTTATAACTGTCGATGGGCCTTACAAGAGGGTATTACATTAGAAGAATAGGAAAAATATCTGTAGGTATTATAGCAGGGTAGGAGGGAACTTCTGATTAGAGCATTTTCCATCTTTCTAAACAACCATGTGAGAAAACCTCTTTCTCTAATAGTTCATCTATGTATATACATTTTGTTCCAAAATACGAAAACAATTTCATTATTTCTCAGAACTCAAATAAAATTAGTGTAAGTTATTTTTCTATATGGGTTCACCCTGGTTGTGTAAGGACACAAGTCTAAACGTCTAAACCAAACTGACTCCATGACAGGCTTTAAGTTTCCCCTCTAAACTAGAAGGCCTAAGTTTCAGCTTCCCCGAAACTATCAGGCAGTTACACATTGCCCAAGGCAGGAGAAATCATCCTTGCAACACCCAATCAGGAAAGGCCAGCGACCACCCTCCACATTACTGAGGGAGAGGCCTGGAGATAGAAACTATAGATAGGACCCTGTTACCTAATGTTAAAGTTAACCTGTTAGTCACCAAACAAGACCCTAGGCTCGCTCTGTGATTGGTTGAATTTAAAGGTCTCTAAATGTTGTAATTGGATCCCGCCAAAAGTAACGAATACTCTAGACAATGTATGGTTAAACCCACTGTCAATAATGTTGAATAATTATGATTGGATCACTGTTCCCATGTCACAACTTCAGTAACTCCCCCGTCACAAACCCCATAAAAACCCTTCTCCTCCATTGTTCGGGGCTCTCAGCACGGATCCACGGCGCTGGTGAAGTCCGTGAGCCCGAGCTCGAACCCATAATAAACCCCTTTTGCTTTTGCATACATGACTCGGACTCGGTGGTGGTCTTGGGATTTTGGGGAGATCGCGATCTGGGCATAACAGCGTGGCAAATGACATTTCAGAGTGGTAGCATTTGGGGTGAGTTGAAGTGGCGGGGGTTCTATGTTACAATATGCTCCAGTTAAAAAAAAAAGTCAGGGGGGTTTCAGCTTCTCATTCTTTCCTCTTGCCCAGAACCCTCCCAAACCCACAGTCAGTGAAACAGTGAAATGCCCGCAATTCTTCCTATTAATTTTGCAACAACATGTTGTTGGGATGACTATCATGGCAAAAGAATCTTTGAAAAGGAGAACTGCAATATTAACTGTGAAATAGATACGAAGAGAAAATATTCTATAATGCAGTTTCAGGCGCACAAAGTCACAGTTAATGTCAATTACCTGCCATGAAAGACCTCTAACATATTTAAATTATAAAAGCCATCATACATTTTAAATAGCATTCTATTATTTCCTTGACTTCATTCAATAAGACTACAAACTCCTAAAGGACAGGGCTCAATTCATCTACTAATCTTATTACATTCTAGCCCAGGGGTAGACCCAGCATACATTCAATAAATGCTTTCTGAGTTAATGAATGAACTTGACCAAAAAGCTAAGCAAAACAGCTTGCTGATTAGATCAAGGGTTGAAAAATCTGATTAGGAAGATTTGAATTATATCCCAGGCTGTGCATCTCAGAGATATACTTTCTGGAGAGGGCCAGAAATCCTTCAAAGCAGCTCTTTAAAGAAGAAGGTGGAAGAGGTAAAACTCAGGGTTAAGAAGCCTAAGAGACCTCAAAACGGCTT